CCTGTCCCAGCAAGGAAAAGGGTTTGTCCGTCATTTTCAGACGAGCAATTATGAACAGTACCCGTGGCTCACAGCCTCTGAGAAACGCTGCAAATTGTACTGCTGGGAATGTCCATTGGTTGCAACTGACCGATGCGTTTAAAAACGTTTGGGGACACTCGTGTAGATCTGCAGCTCGGTGAACAGGCACGCCGGGAGACGGAGGTCCACAACGAAAAAGTAAAAAAAAAAAAAAAAAAATAGGGAGATTAAAATTATACCAGAAACACGACCGGACAAAAACAGCTTTCAGCATTGGCTTCCATGTCGATAGCAACAGACTTGCTAATGGACCTGAAAACTGTACAACAGAGCCACTGAAGTGTTCCTGAGAAAATAAAGGAGGATCGACTTTATTTTCAAATGAGCAGACGCTGTGAGAACTACATTGGTGAGTCAATGAATTTTATTTTACATTTCTTCTTGTCATTTTCAGTTATTTGCTGTTGTATAGCCTCTTCTCAAAATGCAAATGATCTGTTAACTTTATTTTCAAAGAATAACATTGCGCAATTTATTGGACAGACTTGTTTAAGATCACACAGCGTAATTTGGGTGGCATTTTATTTCGTATTTTTAAATCATCTTTATTTTTGACTATCTGTAAATTTAAGTTTCCTGCTCTTAATTGTGAATGCATACTTGATGGTTTTAAATGCTCCTGAAATTAAGTGCTGCTTGACGAGCCTATACAGTATTGTGTTCATGTATGTGACGTCACTGAAGGCCTAAGGTTGAAATGCACGGCCCGCCACTGCACTTAACATACTGTCAAATGTGTGTGATTTTGTACAGGTGAGGTTGTAATTGTGCTTAACTAAACCTTGAATGCTCAAAGAAGGCAATGTATCATTCAAACTCAAAATTTCTTAACCCACAAGGAAACAAAATGTAAAATAAGGGAGGAAAAAAAAAGAAAAAAAATGAGATGTCTCACTGCAAAGTTAAACAGTGTCTGAAACTACCTTGTCTCTGATGTTAACGTCTGCCCCATTGGCCAGCAACAGGTAGAACACCTTCTTGTGCTTGTGCTCGATTGCCCAGGTGATGGGTGTCCAGCCGCCATAATCCTGCTCAAGCACAAGTTACACTATGAAGGTAAAACCGACACATATACTCACAAAAGTATTTCATAAATTACTATTGAGATGTATGGTTGAAAGCATTTTAAGTATTTTAAGTGGTTACTCAGAGCAGCTATTACAGTAAATGTAGTGCAATGCGTCTACCTGGCAGTTAATGTACTTGGATGTCCTTGAGAGAAGATGTTGCACAATGTCATAATGTCCCAGTTTAGAAGCCAGATGCAGACAGGTGAAACCCATTACATCCTGATGTGAGAATATGATGAAACAAAATGGGAAAAGTGAAAGGACGTGATCATATCAAAGACAAATTCAGTGAAAAAAGTTGCAACAAAACCAACCAGAGCTACTTGAAAAATCTGGGAAAGTTTATTTTTTTTAATTTTTAATAGACAATCAAACACAGATTTTGCATTCACAAAGTGTGTCCCTAGCTCATTCTGCATTAGTCCCTTCTCCCTTTCGCCCTCCACAAGACAACGGCTTAAGTCAGGGCTGTCCAAACATTTTTGTTTGAGGGCCGCATACATAAAAATGAAGAGAGAGTTAGTCAAGACAGCAACTATATTTCTACTTTGGCTCTCGGTGAAGGTGGACGCTTTTTGCATGTGCGTGCGGGTGTGCAATGTAAGAACTTACCTTGTGGTTAATAGCTGCTCCAGCTCTAACCAGGTACTTTACTGTATCTAAATGGTTATTTTCACAAGCTGCCATCAGGGGTGTTCTCTGCTCTTCATCAAACATCTCCAGGTTGGCTCCAGCCTACAAACGCAAACATAGCTCATAAGCCAAACAACAGGTGTTAAACTTCAAAACCACAGCATAATGATTAACAAGTATGGGTTGATGAGGTGGATGAAATATGTAGGCGAAATCAACGTACATTCTTGACTCATCATGCAATCACTGAGTGAGTATGTCGTTTGGAGACTGAATGAACACAAAATAATGTGTTTTTTATCACACAATTTTGGGGGGTTATTCAAAACAACCAAATTTTGCAAGGGGGGTTGTACAAAAACAAATGTTGGGGTTGTTTTGTAGGTTATTAATTTGACCCAACTTTTGTGGTTAAATGAATAATCCAAAAAGTTGTGTCAGTCTTTTTTTGACAACAGTTGTTTGGATGAAAGTAAACAAAAAGTCAATTGTGTTGTGAAGTTTCTACTGAAGGTTGTTTGGTATCCAGCATAATTTGACAAGCTACATAAACATCGCACAAAAGGTAAGAAAGTTTGTGTTTATTAGATTATTTCTTTGTTGCAACAATGCTTCCGAGCAATACATCTCATATCATTGCAAAGCTTGTTCATTACCTTGTTAATGGTGCCAACACTTGTAAGGAACATGAGTTTGTGGGATGAGCAAAAGAGCAGAATATGTGGGCTGTGCCCATGAAAAATTTGCCAAATCTCTGCCAATGGCAAACTGCTTATTTCACTGTTCCCAGTGATGCTTGTTTGATGGTTGGCGCATTGGATAACAGACGTTTGAAGATGCAAGACATATTTGCAATTTAAAGGGATACATACCTCCTTTTTTCACTGTGATTTTTGTCTTTACAGCAGTGAAAAGTTCTTACTTTTGCTGTAATGAATTTGAAAATACGGTGAATTCTCAGGCACATTTAGTAACTTAAAAAAAAAGACTTCTTTTTTTTCTTTTTTAATTGTATGGTGAGCCGTCATATTTACTGAACATGAGATTGGCTAACCCGCATAAAGATGTCACATGTGTGACACAAGCACAGTTTAGTCTTGCGCATGCCAGTGCAAACGCCACTAGCCTTGATCCTGGGTGGATTAAGCCGCCCGATGAAATGGACACAACCAAAGAGGCCAACAGAAACATATCCTCCTGATGGGCAAACAAGACTTGGCATAATCATCTGGAGATTAAGCTATTTTGACAAGAGAGGTTCCCTCACAGCGGTTGCATGGCGGCATGTCCAGAGCGAAGTGGAGGGAGCCATTGTGCAAGTTATGTCATCAAAAACAATGCAATTCAACAAACCTGTTGAATCATTCGAACAGGTAGTAGCCAAGTGATGAAGTGGAAACCATGAAAATAAGAGCAGATCTGGCACAGTCTGCCCACATAAACATTCGCAGTTTAGCTGCTAATAACTAGCCGGCAGCGACTGGATGAAAGCGCAATCAAGCATGTCATGTTTTAATCATGCACATTGGCATGGAGTACTGATGTCAACAATGGATATAGGATCATAACTTCAAAAAATTATATCTACATTTTAAGGCGTATTCGTTATTCTTGTGTGGTCCATTTTGAGTACGTAGTTCACAGTTGTATTTTGTATTGTTCTAGATTTGTTGAGCTGTTGAATAAAAATGTCAGTAAAAAAAATAAAAAACAAAAAATTAATCTTTGTTGTAAGAAACCAATGCTTTAAAACAGGAAAAAATTTGGGGACCACTGACATAAATGATTCCACTTGGTCCTGTGGCTGAGCTTGATCACTTAGTGGATGTTCTTTTAGCTGCGCTCTTCCTATTGAACTCCAGAATTGATGCATGTAGGTGTCGCTGAGTTGGCAGTCGGCCTCAGTTTTGGAGCAAGTAAGCTGGCCAAACCACTTCTTCCCAAGCATGTGTCCTGTAAAGTCAAAGGGATTCGCCATGAAGGCAAACCCCTTCCTGGCCGGCATTCTTCCTCCAGTGCTATTCCGCTATCCTCGGAGTCATGGGTTTCTTGTAGAGGTTATTCATTGTACAGTCCTGCTACCGTTCTTCTCTCCTCCTCCCTTGCCTTCTTGAAGTTCCTCCTGAGGTTCTTCAGCTCTTGCCTAAAATGGTGGCTTTTTTTTTTTTGCCCTGTTGTTCATGCTGTAGGGAAGGTCCAGATAAGAGTGGATGTACAGCCATTTTTAATGTAGCTGACCTCCAAAATGGGAGTGTTAGGGAAGTGGAAGTCATTCTGAACGGGAGGAGCAAGGGTGGGGTTGTATTCACCGGCACTGGACAGGATTATTATTACAGGTATTGTAATCATTATTATTATTTTTTTTTTTACTATGGTCCGGACTGGGGTATTTTTTTTTTCTGTGGTAGTGAGATGGGAAGGGAAGTGAAAATCCAATGCTGTGTCACCCTCCAGTGACCTACTGTCTTCTCCTCCAAACCAAATCTCTGAGCGTCACGGCCAATGATGATGGCGATCATTGTCTGGAAAAGTCGATCCTGCCCTAGGCTGTTGTTTCCAAGATGGCGTGAGTGTCTTCATCAAACTCGAGTCATTCCCTCTTCTTGTTGCATGGCTGGAGGTCTATTATTTAGAATGATTAACGGTAGTTTCTTCAGAATATGCTCAGGAATGTTAATTTATGATTCTGCTAGTCATATGTGGTCACATTACTGTTTTCGTCTTTGGTCTTTGCAATTACAGTATGAGAACCATTAATTGTTTTTTTATTACCGGTACTTTTGTTTACTATTTTTAGTTATTACATTGCAGAAAAAAAACTGTTGATAAAAAATTACGCCTCAATTAAGATCAATCAATAATCAATTAGTAACCTTCTTAATCGTAACACAATCAAATTGTGAGATTGACAGACATCGCCAGTGTCCTTCTGACCTAACAATAAAACATTCATACAATACTCAACATACTGGAAAACAAGAAGTTCTAAAGATGCCCACATAAGAAAAAATGAAATTAAGTTTCTCAATTTGTGCACTGACAGATTTAATAAACTGAGGAAATCACAGAAACTCCTCCTCACCTGGATTAGCATGTGGCAAATTTCCTCATGCCCTTCCGCAGCAGCAGCATGTAGAGGTGTTCGCTTGTTTTGCGAATCTATCAGAATGTTGGGATCCTTTCCATCAACTGCAGAAGACACAGTTGGTAGCTGACCAGCTGACCATGCATAAAGGCACTAAAACAATCTGTGAAGGCAAACCGTTGATGCCGCTTGGAAGACGAGGGAAAAATAAATATTTCAGGTACCTAACAGATGAATGACCCTCTGGAGCTCCCCTCCTTCTGCAGAAATGTAGAGCTGTCCAGTAGGGTAATTGACTTTTGTTGGTGTCAGGCTACAAAAACATGAAGCGCTTAAAATGATTTATGCTGAAAAGCAAACTACTTTCTAAAGCAGTGCATGTTTCCAAAATAATGAACCGTTTCAAATGTGAACTTACTTTTCATCATCTAGTCCCATCAGTATACTCTCTAGCGATTCGTTCGGACTTGTGCCTGCAGTGCCACTGTAGCAATTGAACAAATTCAAAGGAAATGAAATCTTAATGGGTTTCGTATTTTGTTTTCCAATTCAATGATTAAAAAGAAATTCCATTTTACCTGCTGAAGTACGGCTCTCTATTCCTTTGTGGCTCGCAAGTCTTTTTCGCCCTGAGTCTCTGTGTAGCAGGTTTTGGCAGAGGAGATGCAAGTGATGGTCCTCCGTTTGATCTTTGGAGGGGGGGTGAGGGCACTGTGATCTCTTTTGCCCCACTGGCATCCTCTCCACAGTGGGGACAAAACCTGCGATCCTTTAAAACGGAGGCACAGTCCTTGTGAAAGCGGTGGGAAATGTTACCATGGGGCTGGCACTCCATGAAGGTGCCCTGAGGGAAAACCAGCAAAGCAAATGAAGAGGAATCAATCAGCAGGATGAACATCAAAATATCCATGTTAAATACTGTCTATTCAATATTCGTGTGCTAAGAGAGAAGGCAACTACAGCATATGTGTGACGCTCACCACACTACAGAAGAGTCCGCAGCCAGGGCAGCATTGGTGTTTAACCATGCTGGCCCGGTGATTCTCACACAGAACCAGCAAACTGACGACATTGGAAGGTCTCATCATTTCATGCTTCATCGCGCGTCTCTGACAGCGATTCGGCTGAGGAGAGAAAACAAGATGTCACCTATGATCCAAACTGTTACACGTGAAAATACATTTGATTATTAGCATATTGATCTTGAAAAATAAAGTGGTGCTCTGTTATTGGACTTCTGTGCTCATCAAGGATTGAGCTGAACAAAGAGTCCGATCGGGCCTTTCACATCTTTGTGACTGGTAGCAGCTAATGGGGAGCAGGCGGGCCAAGCATTTTGAAGCTTTAGTGCTCGCTGACACAGAAACTAAGCAAGAGTTTGGAAAGGCTATGGAGAATGACTTCCGGGGAGCTTTGAGAAAATTCTTGTCTGCCATCCCGCGTCTCAGGAGGGTGAAGCAGTGCAGCATCACAAAATTGGAGAGTGAGACATTGTGAGTCGGTGGGCAGAGTACTTCAAAGACCTCAATTCCATCGATATGCCTTTCTATCAGGAAGCAGAATCTGGGAATTTTAAACTGGGCTCTCCTATTGTTTGGGTTGAGGTCACCAAGGCGGTAAAAAGGTCCTCTGTACCAGGGCCCCGGGCAGGGATGGGAGGTCCTCAAGGCTGTGGCTGTTGTGGGACAGTGTAGGATGACACGCCTATACACTGCATGGACCTCGGGGACAGTGGCTGTCCCTCTCAAGAAGGGGCACCGGAGAATATATTCCATTGGGATGCCAATCAGCACATCCAAATCAAAGAACCCGAGCCTCAGTCAGAGGACTAAGGCGACCCAACTCTGGACAAGTGTGTGTGTGTGTGTGTGTGTGTGTGTGTGTGTGTGTGTGTGTGTGTGTATAAAGTTCAGTCACCGTATGATGTAAATACAGTGATGTGACACACACACACACACACACACACACACACACACACACATACACACATACATTTCGTGCACTTTTGGGTGACTGGTGGACAGCCTGTGTCCATACACATGGATTTTCGTTGTCATTAATATTATTTGTTGAACATGAAACCAACTCAAAATGCGGTTTCTTGATGACAAAAGAAAAATTATATAATCCCATTTTCGGAAAAAACGACAACATTAACAAATATTATAGGACTCTTGCTCATTTAAATGCACAATGAGCTGAATTACAGTCGGGGAACGTGGCTTCGAACACCCTGAATTTGACCCATGACAGTCTGGCAGTCTGAGTAGCAGAGTGTCACAATTAAATAAAATGCAGAATATAAATCCATTTGAATTATTTCATATGTAAGGTGCTTAAGTATACACAAAAGTAATCATTAGAGAATTAGTTTAAGACAAGGTGGAAATGTCACCCCGAGTTTCCAAAGGGTTTCGCTCACGCTGTGTTTTTACCATTCCATCTGCGCTCTCCATGGCCATACAGGTCTGATCCTTTTCAGACAATCTGCCTTCATAGGGAGGAGTCTCCATACGACAGCAGCACAATGGTAACTCCTCAGTCAGGTCTGATTCTGTCGCCTGAGCAAGTTCTGGTCAAAATACAGCGATACAGTTTACATTTGTACAAAAGTGTAACACAGTCAGTGACCTCTCGTGGTTACCTGTTGAGTGTGGCAGAAGTAGTAACTCTTCCTGACTTTTCAGATCAAGGCAGGCTAAATTCAGCTCTGTGTATTCAACATGGTTTGGTTCTCCAGATTGTGCTTCAATGAAAGATTCACTTCGCATACTTGAGGCACTTCCTGATTTTGTAATCATAGATATCTCATCTCCTCCAACATGGCTCATCTGCACTATGTTGTGAGAATCATACTTCTGATTGAAAACAGAAAAGTTGTGTTGATCAGCATATGGGGGGGGGGGGCAACATTTAATATTCATCCATCCATGTATGTATTTTCGTTTATGCTTATCCTAATCAGGGTCACCTGTAGTTGGAGCCTATCCCAGTTGACACTGAGCAAAAAGCATGACACATACATCCAAACCAGTGGTTCTTAACCTTGTTAGAGGTACCGAACCCAACCAGTTCATCTGCACATTCACCGAACCCTTCATTAGTGAAAAATAAAAATATGATGTTTTACAAATTCAAGACATAAATAACGCATTTATTAAAAAATGAAAAAAGGAAACACAATTAGCATGATGTACCGTAAATTCCGGATTACAAGCCGCTACTTTTTTGCCACACTTTCAACACTGCGGCGTGTAATATGAAGCGGCTTTAAAAATGTTTTTTTCCATCGCGGGAAAAACATGGACCAATAAAATGAATGAGTCTTTCACAGAGGTCCAATGAGATTGTCTGACTAATCACAGCTTCCGCTCTTTTTGCCGTAGTGGGGGAAAAATGTGTTACCCGGCAACAGTCGACCAATAAAATGAATGAGTAGTACACAGGGGTCCAATGAAATTGTATGATTACCGGTAATCACAACTTCCTTATTTCAGTCTTTCTTTTAACCCTGATCAACATGGAGAACACCAGACAAAAAGCATATGATGCAGCTTTTCAACTAAAAGCGATCACTCTGGCAGTTAAAGAAGGAAATCGAGCTGCTGCCCGTAAGGCGTAGAAAAAAAAAGTAGTGTGTTTACGGTAACCCGACCGACCACCGAGAATTTCTACGTCGAAAAAAAACTTTACGGTCGGCATTTTTGTGTAGAGGGTTTACATCGGTGCAAACTCTCGCGATATTCACGTTGAGCGCGTGCGTCGTTTGCCCTGTCGTCTGTCAACAACATTGAAACATGGCGGCGGCCTCCCTTGAACAACCAAGATTGAACTTTTGAACTCTTTATAATTTCTATTATCTAGTCCAGTTAAAGTCCAGGGGAGGAAGCCCCATCATAGTAAAGAGGATACTAATGTGATGTGTGTAGTTCTTCATAGCCTCTTCATTTTGCTCTCAAAGTGCACGGAATTGATGGATTTTGAACAGAATGTAGAAAAAAATTCTCCCGGGGGAGCATGCCCCCGGACCCCCCTAAAGGGGCTGTGTTCCCCTTGGGGCTAAGCCCCCCTTGTTCTTGAAACCTAGTGACGCCCCTGGGGCATCTCCCTCCCAATTACGAGGACATACTTGCTTCGTTCCGCACATTCACACAAACAAAGATAGCGGAGAATTCCATCAGCCCAGATGAAATAATAAATATGGACGAAGACCCTCTGACATTTGATTTGCCTCTCACTCGGACTGTAAATAAAAAAGGTGACTCACCCGTTATACTGAAAACAAGCGGCCACGAGAGAACACATTTTACCTGTGTTTTGAGCCGCGCAGCATCCGGCCTAAAGCTGCCAACGATGATCATTTTTAAGCGGCTGACTATAGAAATAATTTCATATATCTTTTCCCATTTATATGATTTGCATTATTCTATTTAAAGCCTAGTGGGCTGCAGTATTTCTCCTCGTAATTACGCAAATGCGCATCAAGATCTATCTTTGTCTGGCCTCTTATTATGTGTTTCAGCGTAATTTCGTTGTGCAAATGCATTTATCATGCTCATAAAAATATGGAGATTATTTAAACCTGAGGAAATGTTGCGTTTTTTTTCTGCGGGGGTTCAGCGGGGACCGTGTCAGCGGCCTCACCCGGAGGCGCTCCCAGCGGCAGGGACGCAGAAGCAAACCCCCGCCTACTCATTGGCCAGCGGTTTATGGTACAGTGCGGCACATATAATTACAAAATTGATTTTTCTTCATAAATCTGAGCATGCGGCTCTTAATCAGGTGCGGTCTGTAGCCCGGAATTTACGGTATATATATTTTTTAAATTGTGCATAAAATGAATCAGCCAGTGATGGCCAAGCAGGCGTATGATAATGAATTGACATGTTGAGTTGGGTGGGTCTTAACCTCCATGGCAGAGTCTCTGTCGAACCCCTGAGACTGATTCACCGAACCCCTAGGGTTCGATCGAACCCAGTTTAAGAACCACTGATCTAGACAGACAACCATTCTTACTCACACAGTTACTGAGTAACAAGCGAACATGATGTCTAGTTGTGTCACGACGCCCGTTCCCCGCCATTCAAATCGGGTTATTCAAATGCAGGGAATAACCGTCTGCTCATTCATGTAGATTCCGAATGTTTCAGAAATCTGAATTTTGATATTTGACTATGCGTAAATGTAGTTAATGATATGAAGTATTCATATTTAATTTATTTGTAAGGTCTCTGATAATGTCTGTCCAGGTTTCTGGTAATGTAAAGTTTAACTTGCCTTACTTCCATGCGAGCAGTGTTACTTCAGTTCCCGCTCAGTGATGTTATGAACCTGAGGTGTAAATGGCTGTCTGTCTCTATAATATATGTATGTGCCCTATGATTGACTGTCAAACAGTCACAACGTCTGGGAGCAGCAACTGCCCCCCGTGACTGAATAAAAGTGTCGTTGAGTGCCCTTTTGCGTCTAGCATTTAAGGCTTGATCCCAACTTGTGAAAGAAACAGCTAAATCTGGTTATGTCAAATTACTTTTTATCTTCTTAGTCGGAATTAAGAAAAAGGAATACAATTATCAAAGTGTAGGGATGAGTATAATAAATCTATACAAATTAAAGAATGCATGTGTATAAATTGTGTGTGGTTTGATCAATCATCATGCAAAATAATGCTAATATGCTTTGTAATACAGTATACTAGTCATGTACTGTAGTTTTGATCTTGTGAAAAAAAAAAAACTTGAGAAGAATATTTTTTTAGGACACAAAAGCCTTCTTACTATTTATCCGTGTACACAAACTTACTTTTTGCAGGTGTTTCAGGGGCTTTGCCTTCTTTTTGGGGGCAAAGTTGTAGAGTCCCATCTTTCGTTTCTTCTTCTTCACAGCTACGAATAAAAATCAGACACAAAGGCAGCTAATGAGAAAAAAAATGGTGACTTATTACTTGAAATGCTCAATCGGCTTCTATGATTACATAAACGCTGCTATGGACTTGTGCCCAGCTTGATAGTGGGTAAAATTGGCAAGTAAAAACATTTGCTAGGAAAACATGTCTAATAGGAAATAATATGACCATGAATCAGAAGAATTCTTGCTTAAAGAGAGAAATAATATTGAATGAATGTTTTAAGACTATTGGATGGCACTAACAAGGAATACATGTACCGGTACTTGTGACACACAGTGGTGCCTTGAGTTCAAAGTGACCCGAATTACCACTTTTTAAAATACATCGTCATTCAGCTATTTTTTGTTGTTGTTTTGACTTGTAAGCACGGACTTGACATAGAAGTGCTGGCAGCGAACGAAACTCAACATACTTTATAATAACCAACAGTTTGGCAAATAATGAAAAATTGATCAAAAAAGGCGCTCCAAGGCTGAGCTGTTCTTTTTTTAAATACACGAAAAACAACAACAACCTGAGTGTGGTTTAGTGGAAATGAAGGGAACTCTCTCTTCACCATCTTTAAGACAAATCTCTGTGGCCTCAGGTGCGGCAGAAGGCTGCTTGTCTGCCAGGTCCAACTTTATTTTGCTCTCAGCAGGCTTTAGACAGAAGACAACAAAGAACATACATTACTGTATATCACAACCCCCCCCCCCAAAAAAAATACCCAGTACTAAATTAAAAGACAAGATTAAGCTTAATACATTCAAGGAAAGAAGATGAAAAAATGAAAATTAAAAATTTTGGATCTATAGCATTAAAAAAAAGAACAAAAATCAAAAGTCAAATGCCCCGAAAGGAGGTGAATTTTATAATCAACCAAATCGTTCTGGTTAAAACATGCCTCAAATTTGGGAATATCTGAGTGTGGTTAGCTTTTTTGTGTTTTTAGCATTCATCAAAACACAAAGGATAAACAGTGCAGCTAATATACTCTTGTACTGTAATGCCGTGGTTGAACTTAAGGATGTAACACTAACCAAACGTCACAATACGATATCATGATATGAACCTCACGATATGATAATTATCACGATTTGTAGCGATGTAAAAAAAAAAAAAAAAGCTCACGGTACTGAATAAAAACTCATGATATTGTAAGACGAATAAATTTAAAAAGCTAATGATATTGAACCAAAAACAAACAAAAAAAGCACAATAGTGTGATTTTGTACAAGAAAAATAGTCTTGGCCAATCTTTTAATTGTCATGCGTTCCTATTGGCTCAGTGGCACAAAGTTGCTGGTCCCATTCTTTGGAATGGCCTCCCGCGGAACGCTAGGCAAGGCCCCTCGCTGCCTATCTTTAAAACCCATCTTAAAACTCATTTTCATTCTGTGGCTTTTGACTCAGCATGAGACTTGATTTTTAGTTTTACTGATTTTGTGTTGGGCGGCCCGGTGGTTGAGTGGTTAGCGCATCGAACTCACAGTGCAGCTTCCACCTCTGGCTTTCCTGTGTGGAGTTTGTATATTCTCCTGTGCCTGCGTGGGTTTTCTCCGGGTACTCCGGTTTCCTCCCACATTCCAAAAACATACCAACATGCTGATACAATTGTGTTAAACATGAATTTTATGGGGTTTTTTGGTTGTTTTTTTGGGGCTTTTTTAAAATAAAGCAGGAAATTATATCACTTCGTGTGTAGCCCTGGTATAGCATGTTGTAATGACAAAACCAAATCTCAAAACTGATGTAAAGAAATTATTACATCACTATTTAATAAACCTTCGCACATAAAAAAACATGTCTACAGTGCCCATTTTTTTCTATATTTATGAAAGTGTGTTGACATTATGAGCACTGCTGACACACGTCCACATAAAAATAAAAGTAGCACATTCTTGACGTTTTACTTTGACTTTCTCAAGGCTGCAGGGACTGTGGACAAACGGAATGTGGCTCACGGTCCCTACATTGCCCCAATTGGCTGTAACTCATTATGTTCATCTATGAGGTTGGTGGGTCGCGGTGGGGGGTGCAAAACAACAACCTCTGGCGCTCATTTGAGAACCTCACCAACATTTTTATGTGCACTCCTGTAACAAGCCCTTCATCACAAAAGAGTCTCAAAGGGCTTTACATGTCTGCAGTTGACAAATATTAACAACATCTCCTGATGTGAACCCCATAGGAGGGTAACGAAAAACTCAAAAGCAAGGAAAAATGTCCCCCCCCCCAAAAAAAAAAAAACATCTGGGGGAAAAATAAGAAACCTTGAGGAGCGGCCGGAGATGGGGGAAACCCCCTTTCAGGATGACCAGGCTGCAATGGATGTGTGGGCAACATATCACAAAATATGATGCTATATAACGTTAGTTAGTGAAAGATAAACACTGAAGGACACAGTATTGTAAAACAGTCAAATGTTCTGCCTGTAATTCCCATTTGTATTGTTGTACAGAGTAAGGAAGCAAAAAGGAAGTTATTTTATTGAATATATATGATTTTTATCATTCGGTCTATTAAAGGAATTTTAAACTGCCAAATATCTGAATCAGCGCCAAAAAATTGTCCATATGGTCGGGCCCTTGAAGGCACCTTAGCTAAAATATATTGCTGAGCATTTTATCACTGCGTCAAGCGAGCCTCCACTGCAAAATTGAAGTCAATTGAGCCGCTCCAGTGAAACTCCTCTACAACGAAACCTACATGGGCGAAAATACCCCCTACTGTGAAAAAGTCTTCATGCATTAACACCATTCCCACTTTCCTGCTCCCCATACAACGAAAAAAAACGCTGTTGCATTGTACGAAATCTTTTTCTCTGCTCTTGCCTCGCGACCAGATTCACTACAACGAAGTCTAATCCAACAGCGACCTCTACTGCTTCGTTTGGAAACGGCAACAGCAACCACCACACCGGTTTACACATACGCAGTCGTCCAGGAAGTATTTGTTATTGTTAGTTTCAGACGCACCAAGAACGTTGCATTGCTAAAATTGCTACAAAACGGACCTTTGGATGTCAAGCAGCTAAGACGAGAAGAGCTCTGACGCTGGAAGAGAGGGTAAAAGTGATCAAAATGAAAGACGGAGGAAGCAAAATGAGACATTATCCAAGAAATTGATGTAAGTGAAAGTGAATGCTGATTGTAAATTTCGCAATTTCTTTCCCTTTTTTTCATTTTACACTGACTATATGAAGTGTCAAATACGTGTATGCTCATACTTATGCACTATTGGTATAAAAATAAAGAGTACACATACGTGTGTGTGTGTGTGTGTGTGTGTGTGTGTGTGTGTGTGTGTGTGTGTGTGT